AAAAAATTAGTTCCAGGAATAGAACAAGCAATTTTGAACTTACTCTAGCAGATAATTTTTTTTTTTATCAGATAAGAGAAAAATAGCCCAAGAAAGCCAGTCCCAGACCCATGCACATACAAAAACTTGGTAAAGGATAGAGGCAACCCTATCTATCAGAAGAACAAGGAGCCACTTGCAGAAGCTGATCAATGATCCTCATTAATGTTTCCTCTCTCTTCTCCCTTCCTCTCTGAAATTAATATATATAGAGATAATGAAGTTGGGTGTATTTATAATAGAAATTATCCTCTGAGGTACTTTCAGTGCCTGACCTATTTTTTGTTAATCCTCACCAGAGGATATTTTTTTCATTGCTTTTTGAAGAGTGAAAGGAGAGAAACATTGATGTGAAAGAGACACATCAATTGATTGCCTTCTGTACGTGACCCCATCAGGGTCAGGAATCACACCTGTAACCCAGTACATGACCTTGTCCTAGAATCAAACCCAAGACCTTTTGGTGTGTGAACCAATGCTCTAACCACTGAGCACATCAGCCAGGGCAGTGCCTGACCTATTTTAAAAATTAAAAATTAAAGTAGCCAAATGCAAAAATATCATGGGGAAAACAATGCTTCCCACCTTTTAGTAAACTAATTTTTTATGATACAAATTACTGGTAGAATTATAATTCAGTAAAAAATAAAACTTAGGCCCAACCAGGGTGGGCCAGTGGTTGAGCATCAGCCTATGAACCAGGAGGTCACGGTTCAATTCCCAGTCAAGGCACATGCCTGGGTTGTGGGCTCAATCCCCAGTGTGGGGTGTGTAGGAGGCAGCCAACCAATGATTCTCTCTCATCATTGATGTTTCTCTCTCTCCTCTCTCTCTCTCTCTCTCTCTCTCTCTCTCTCTCTCTCTCTCTCTCTCTCTCTCTCTCTCTCTCTCCCCTTCCTCCCTTCATCTCTGAAGTCAATTAAAACATTTTTAAAAAATAAAACTTAGTTTTTCTATTTTAAATTGTTTTGGGTAATCAGGCCCACAAAAAATGACTTAAATTGGGCATTTTATTTCTCCCAACTGGGGCACATTCCTTACATACTCTTTGACTGACACTCTTTTTAAAAATATATATATATATTTAATTTCAGAGAGGAAGGGATAGAAACATCAATGAGAGGGAATAATTGATTGCCTGCCTCCTGCAAGCCCCCCACTGGGGATCGAACCCACAACCCAGGGATGTGCCCTTGACTGGAACCAAGCCCAGAACCCTTGAGTCCACAGGCTGATGCTCTATCCATTGAGCCAAACCAGTCAGGACAATGACAGACACTCTTGGTCCCCAACCCAATGGCCCTTTCTGTTGCCTCTAGAACCGATTCTGTCCAGGTTCAAAGGGTTTCCACAACCCAGGGGAGGAATCTTGATCCTTTTAAGGCAATTACAGCAATTCCCTTCCCTCGGTGCAGGGAACAACCCTCAACCAAACCTCAACAGCCAGGGCCCGAATTCCCTTCTCGGTGTCAGGAAGCTATTAGCAATGTCTTGTAGTGCGCAAGTAGGCGAAGTCCAAGGCACCTCTGTGAAAAAGGGACATCTCAGAGACACAGAGTAATACACAATCCCTCCTCTTCTGGGCTTCGGACATTGTTGTGATGCCTGGAGATGTTGATACAGCCTTGCTCTGCCAGAAAGGGTCCATCCTTGGGGAGGTAGGGGTGGTGGTGGTGGTGGTGGTGGTGGAGGTAATGGCCAAAGAGAGGTCAAGGGGTGGGGGTGGGGGTAGAAACATGTCATACTTTAAACAATAAAATTTTTAAATTAAAAAAAAAAAAGGGCCCATCACAAGGAAGCAGCAGCAGCAGGATGGGCAGAAAAACATGGAAAGAACAACCCTAAGTCCCTGCGCATGCTACTGAGCGGCCGAATTCACCAATCTCGGGATTGTCCTGCCCCGACGACTTGTCGTGAAACCCACTTTTCTTCCTGTTTTAAGACCCATTGAATTGCTCTTTAACAAAACAGAACACAAAACTCTGACGAATGCACAAATCCCAGCGAGTTCTGGATGGCTATAAAAAAGACCTTGTTATTCTCATACGAGCCGGAGGCAGAGATTTTGCAAACTGCACAAATAGTTGCAGCTGTACACACGCACCCCAGTTCCGCCTCACACTTTCCTAACCGTCGAACGGCCGGAAAGAGAATGTGCCGATTTTGCTTTTGCATTGATAGCCACGTTGAGAAATGTGGTGAGTCCGCATGTGCTTCTTCGGTAGAATTTAAAGGCTGTCACATTCCTTTATAACTAACTCTTCGCCCTTAGTTCCCTGAAAGTCTTCTTTGAATGTGTTTTCCAACAAGATGCAAACCCCACGGGGGTGTTTTTTTTCTGCCTGTGCCCACCCCTGTGGAGACGCACTCACTTGGACCACAGTGAGGAGAGAGGTGCCAGCTCCTCCAGCTCTGAAGAAAGCTTTCTTCTAAATGCCACCCTTCTCTAATAATTAAACAAGTACAAAGGTAGGGATAATAAGATGGATTTATTTAAAAAGACTACAAAATTTGACATGAAGAGAGATAAAAAAAAAAAAAAAGACCCACAGAATTTCAGTTGATAAATACAAAAATGATTGGCTATAAACAATGTAAAAATACATTTCCCATCCCAAAGAATATAATTTAAGTTACAGCAATTATAAGATTTTTATGTTGTTAAGTGCATTTCCCTTATTTTTTTTAAAACTATTCTAAACAGTTTATTTGTATAAAATATAACAAATTAAATGTATCATAGATGTTAATTATTTTAACCTTGAGTTTTACTGAGTCTGCCTTTTCCTGTACGTAACAGTGGTTTTGGTCGCAAGTTCTCCTTGAACTTTATTTACAATGGTCTGTTTACTCTCCTAATTTCTTCTACAATAGAAGAGGGAGGAAATCAGTCATAAGTCCCATAAAAATCAGAGTGAAGAAAGGTCCCAGAGAGACCAAAAAATGCCAGTGAGTATATTATCCTTCTGAAAAAGGTAAAGATTAAGTGGCCCCATGCCAAGAAAACAAAGAGAAAGGAACCGTCAGAACAACCAGGGCGTAAGCTCATGCCAGCTCTGTGTGTGAAGCCAGCTGAGACAAGGCCACCAAACCCAATGCATGGGTGGGAACCCTGAGGTAGTCCAGGTGGTTTGCTGTCACCCCTCGCTGGATCGAGGTGATATTTACAATGGCAATGGTACAGTATTTTGATGTGAAATTCCAGAACTTGCCTACCATAAGCTAGTTCTTTTTGACCAGTCTTTATTCTTGAGCCCAAGACCCAGGTTATTTTTCCTCCCTTAGATGGCACGCCCAGTCACACCAGCATCCATGATTGGTTTCATTATCTCCCAGGCAGGTGTTGGTGACATCACCACTAGCAGTAGTATCCAAACTGATTCACATAGGTAAGCCTGAGTCACTTAAGCCAGCGCAGAAGCTGTGCCAGGCCGTCAGGGCTAATTTTTGAGAACCACATCAGCCACATTTACTGAGCTAAAACCTATCTACAAAAGGCAGATGAGAAGTTAAGAAAGGATGGGGTCATTAAACTGCCCCATTGGAGACAGGATTCCACTTTTTCAGATAGAAAACCTAGGATGCCTAGCTGGGGAGACCTCCACCAAAGTCCTTCAGGACCTGATGCAAAGTCTCAGCACCTTAACACCAAAGACTTGAATCAAAAATCCAGGAGGAGGGCAAGAAAGATCTAGTTTGGGACCCTGCACCAGACAATTCTTCCCGATTATCAGAACTGGTTATGAAGTGTCTCTTGAGAATAGTGTGACTACTACCTACACCATCAACAGTATTAACCTGGGCGAGATTCTCTATCGCTTTAAGGTCTTCCTCCAAAGAGAAACTAGAGCAGTGCCTCTTGGGAACAAAACCCTAAGGATCATGCTAACACTCGAGGCAATAAGAACCCAAGATCCTGGGCCACCAAAAGGCACTGCCAACAAGAAGGAGCCAGAGGCCCACCTCTGCTGGGCGGGGAAGCAGTGTGTGGGCCATTCCGGCCCGGAGACAGAAACGCGAGCATCTCAGACGAGGAATCGCAGGCTGGGGTTTTAAAAAGGAGTCTGGCTCCACAGAGCACACCGAGGAGGGCCTGCAGAGCCGCTGGTTTCAGTGGAAATAATCAGGTGCCAATAGAACGAACCCTCTCTCCCTCACAGTATGAACTCACCTCTTCAGACTCTTGGTAAATGGCTGAAGCCTGCTCTTGTAATTTCACTGTATTGCACAAAAGGTCTGTCTTTATTGTCTTTGGTCCTTAGGTGTGATATCAGTTTCTTCCATTTTTCTATGTGTTACATAAAAAATTTTTTGCACTTGATATCAACCACCACCAAAGTGCAGTATAAATTTTGGGTTGCTGATGTTGCTTTTATACATATAAAATACCAACATCTCCCATACATTTTCTATTAGGCAACAAAAGAGCTTATAACAATTATCTTAAAATGTTATAATTTTAAGGCCAAGGGAAATACAGCAAAGCCTAAGCAATCATATTTTAAGGGGAAAAAACCTAGACCAACATTTAAAATATTTAATATAAAAATTTAAATATACATTACATTTTATCTAATCATCAAAAAATAAGCTCATAGCTAAGCAAATTACCTTAAAAATGAAATAATATCTAAATGGATTAATTTAATCATGCTGTTTATATAGCTAAGCCTAGTAACAATAACAGAATAATTTATCATCAGTGAGCTGAGATTTAAAGAGACTGCCCTCCCCCCCCCAAAAAAAAATAAACTTCATTGATGCAAGTTTCAAATGCTATACAAAAAACCGCTCTGGCCTAACTTGTGGTGACTGCCTCCCTGTCCAATATTGATAAAATGGCCTCTGGCCCTTCCCCTTCTCTTCAGAAGTGGTTTAGCGATTACAAAGAGAGCACTAGTGGTTCTGTTGGGCTCGGGTACCACCAGCCGCCTCCTGGCGTGACACCTGCTCCCTAGTCTTCAAGCATTGAGCGGTTCGGTGAGGGGCTCTGCCCTATCAGGCTCAGGTTTCCTCATCTGGGACTCCCGTCGCTTTTCAATAATCATGAAGACAAAGTCGCCCAGGAACATAAAACTTGCTAGAAAGCCAAACACCTGAGGAGGAAAAAGGGGCAGAAGTTATAGGAGGAGTTTTATAATATCATCTCACATTTCCTACTTGGCTTTGAGAGTGTTTCATACGAGCAAGACGATTCATCAATTTTATCTTGACTTCAGTGGTAAGGAAATGTTTAAAATCATAGCTATTAGTCAAGACCTCACAAGCGCCCTGTCTTATAAAGTACATGTTCACTTGTGGGGTGCCAATCTATGAAACTAAAGTTAATAGATGAAAACCAAAATCCTGTAAGATGATACAAACACGGGATTACCGGCAATGGTTAAATGGACCCACAATGAGATAAGGGACATATTTGAGGAGGAAGCTGAGCCTATGTAAAAATGGAAAAAGTTATTAATGTAAAAAAAAAAAAAAAAAAAAACCACCAAATTCTATTTTGAATAGAACTATCTAAAAAAAATATATATTTTCCAGTTACTTATCAGTCTCTAATGACACAGCAACATGACAACACTATTGACTTCCTCTTCCTTAAACCACTTCCTCATTATTGCACTTCTTTGATCGACATTCCGAGAATTCTGTCAAGGGACAGAAGACCTGGTTCAAATTTAGCTCTTCACTGGCAAAACCACAGGGAGCCAAAAGTGCTCCATGAGAGAGAGAACTGGTACAGGTAATGGCTAACGTCCCTGCCAACTCCAGCACCCCATCTCCATGGTGCTCTCCTTGCCTGGTGGCCTCTGCCCCTCACCGGCCTGGCCGATTCAGCACTAACGGCAGACAGAGGTCACTTTGCCTGAGAGGCCATCGCCGATCCCGGAGCCCCCAGGCCGTGCAGAGCTCTCTCTGCCGTAGCACCCAGGTAGGTGACCTTCCAGCTCTTCTGCTGACTTAATTCACACACACACACATTTTTAATGAATTCCCTCATTTAATTCTACAAAATGTTTCATAATTTAAAGTGCAAAAGGTAACTTTCGGCACATTATTGTTCTTAAACTGCCAGTCATTCTTAATCCAAATGAAATCTAAATACTGTAACGATCTGACATATCATCTAATATAAGTAAATAAGCTCATTTAAAAAAATATATATTTTATTGATTTTTTACAGAGAGGAAGGGAGAGAGATAGAGAGCTAGAAACGTCGATGAGAGAGAAACATCAACCAGCTGCCTCTTGCACACCCGCTACCGGGGATGTGTCTGCAATCAACGTACATGCCCTTAACCGGAATCGAACCTGGGACCTTTCAGTCCGCAGGCCGACGCTCTATCCACTGAGCCAAACTGGTTTCAGCAAGCTCATTTTTAATAAATGGGAATTTTATGCATGCTTTCCTCCCTTAAACTCAACTTTAAAAAAAAAAAAATTTATTGCTTTTCTACCAAGAGGAAGGGGGAGGGATAAAGAGTTAGAAACATCGATGAGCCGAAACCCGTTTGGCTCAGTGGATAGAGCGTCGGCCTGCGGACTGAAAGGTCCCAGGTTCGATTCCCATCAAGAACATGTACATTGGTTGCGGGCTCATCCCCTGTAGGGGGTGTGCAAGAGGCAGTTGATCGATGATTCTCTCTCATTGATGTTTCTAACTCTATCCCTCTCTCTTCCTCTCTGTAAAAAAAAAAAAATCAATAAAATATATTATTAAAAAAAAAAAGAAACATCGATGAGAGAGAAACATTAATCAGCTGCCTCTTGGCACCCTCCCTACTGGGTATATGCCTGCAACCAAGGTACATGCCCTTGATAGGAATCAAACCCAGGACCCTTGAGTCCGAAGGCCAACACTCTAGCTACTGAGCCAAACCTGTTAGGGCTAAATTCAACTTTTCCTCAACTTCATTTCACTTTCTCCACAGGATTTATAACAACATATTTCTATACTTGAAAATATTTTCCTGACCATTCTATCATCATCCTCCACTATAAAAATATGTATGTAAACTGAAACTGGCCATAAGGCTCTATTAAAATGTTTGGTTTTCTCTTTAATTGGTTCATGACTTCCTGGATAAATATTACTTTGCTAGAATGAGTCACAGTGCTGCATTAATTTTATTTTGTTTTTACCCATGTAAATGCTAAGAAACCGTGAATAGGTAGGTAGAGCCATGCAATTCCTGAACTCCTTTTAAGTTGTTCTATTAAAAAAAGTAGTTTTAATTATCTATTAGCTGACTACTGGAAAGTGTTCACATTCAGAGCACTGTACCAATTCAGGTCCCTAAGCTCAACGTTTTCATGATTTGCTTGGTTCAACACGGGGTAGAACTATTTACGATCTTCACTTATTCCTTTTACTGCCGATATTCACGTTTCAGAAACACTAGTATGCTGGATTACAGGATATGGCTCAGGCCCTCTGAAGGTATTGTGGAATAAACTTTATGTACAGCATAACTAAAATCCAAAATATTCTGAATTCTAAAAAAAAATCTGCTTCCCCCTGCCAAGGATTTCATAAAAAAAATCGTATCTTTCATTAGGCTCAACTTTTGGATCATTTCTCCTGTGTAGTCTCTACACCTGGCAAACAGATGTGTTTTTGTTGAACCAAAAAGTAGAGAATAAGATAATAAAGTCGATTTTACCACTTGCATTAGCAATAACATAGTCATGTGTGGAGTAAATGAGTTTTTTGTTAACAAAACTCAAGTTCTAAAGACAGGTTCTGAGCTTTTCAGGCTATCATATTTAAAGCTATCATTATTTACTTTTACGTTTTCTATTCAAAATTACAATAAAAAATAAGTTAAAAGACAAACTACTCTCCCATATTGTATAACTTGTCAAGTACTTTCCAGATTCCATATTTCTAGTGAAATGAAAATAAGCCAAGATAAAAATACGAGGTACTTACAATTGCAGCCTTTTCAGCTGAGGTATGGTCATGCGTGGCCGCGAAAATGATGGACGCGATCAAAAACACAAATCCTATCCCCAAAGTAATGTAAAAGTCCTATACATAGACAAATGCATAAGGAATACATAAGGTTAGGTTGATAGAAACAAATATTTCAGTTTTTTACTCTTAAAAAAAATTAGTGATTTATTTTCTTCACACAACCAAAATTTACACACTTTGAGACTTTTTTAAAAAATATATTTTTATTGATTCCAGAGAGGAAAAGAGAGAGAGAGAAAGATAGAAATATCAATGATGAGAAAAACCATTGATTGGCTGCCTCCTGCATGCCCCCACCACTGGGGATCAAGCCCGCAGCCCAAGCATGTGCCCTTGACTGGAATCGAATCTGGGACCCTTCAGTCCACAGGCTGATGCTCTATCCACACTGAGCCAAACCGGCTAGGGTGAGACTTGTAACTTTTCAATTAGCCTGACATCCTGTAAAGGAACATCATCTATGCTTTGGACAGGGCACATTCAGAGAATATGTTACAAAATAATCTTTTTATGAAATAGTTCTGCAAGGACTGTGTGTGTGTGTTTCCCTGAGTTTTATGCTTGATCCCCATAGGGATTGTGCAGGAGGCAGCCAATGGATGGTTCTCTCTCTCTATTCCTTCCTTTCCTCTTTCTCTAAAAATCAATTTTAAAAATTTATCAAAGCCAAAGGGTTTATTAAATTCTATATCTTACTTCAAGCAAAAGAAATCATTTTTCTTTCCTTTTCAACGTATTCTGTGCTAGGACAGCCTGAGAGGACTGTGCTTTGAAAGCACTTTGGAAAAGAGAGAATCAAGAGAACTCCCCATCGTTAACTAAAATCCGTCAATAGGTTTTTTAGCCACTTAAACTTTCAGTAATAGCATATTGTTTTCAATTATTCCAAGTGGGTGGGTAATCCAAAATGAGCCTGTATGATGGACTATCCACTACCATAAAGGCTTCCACATCTCATCACAATGAAGCTTCCAACAATGAGTTTCTTCATGGATTTCCAAGTGCTCTCTCAGCATCGCCTCATAAGGCTCCCTCTCTCTCTCATATGCCAGCTGAAAACTGCTCGACACACATACTTGATTCAGAGGAGAAGCGTAAATGATAACCACTCCAAAGTGCTTAAGTCTGATACTTTGAATTTTCGGAAATGCAATCTCCACTAAACCTAATATCGATAAAACTATGCAACAGAGGATTCCTATCACACTGTCAATTTGTTCACTTAACATTTATAAAAAATTAAAGATGTTTTTTCTCTTTGCTTCTAAAAGTATTTTTCTGGGCAAGGGAGTAGAGGTAGGCACTAAGGGTTCAATGGGAGAAAAGGGGATATATATATATTGCTGAAAGTAATATATATATTACTTTCAACAATAAGCATTTTAGCCGAGACGGGTTTGGCTCAATGGATAGAGCGTCGGCTTGGGGACTGAAGGGTCCCGGGTTCCATTCCGGTCAAGGGCATGTACCTTGGTTGCGGGCATATCCCCAGTAGGGGGTGTGCAAGAGGCAGCTGGTTGATGACTCTCTCTCATTGATGTTTCTGGCTCTCTATCTCTCTCCCTTCCTCTCTGTACAAAATAATAATAATAATAATAATAAAAAAAACAATAAGCATTTTAAAAATAAACAGAATAGGTGTTTTTCTGCAGTGTTTTATTTCTATCCCCTTGAATATTATTTCAAATCTATAAAACCCTATTCACTAATATTTGGATTACATTCAGGGAGGTATTTAAACAAGACAGTCATTTTGAGACAGAATAATGTACTATTCAGTACAATGGGCTCTAGAACCAGACTATCCGAGTTCAAACTCCCGTTACACTGTTTCCAGCTCAATGGCTTTGAATTAGTTACTTAACATCTATGTGCCTTTGTCTCTTCATCTGCAAATGGAGAAAATAACAGTATCTTCTTCAATAGATGATTCTGAAGATTAGTGTTAATCCACTGCAAGTGCTTAGATCAGTGCCAGGCACACAATAAATGTCCCATAGGAGCTTACTACTGTTATTCTCTCTAGAATCTGACCCACAATAGCATGGGTTACAAAAGATTTTTTCTTGTAAAAGATTACCCTTCTGCCCTAGACACCACCACCACCCACTCACAACGTTTTCTCTAGAACAGAAAACCTCCCTTACATGAAAATATATTTAAAAGTCAAGTATATTAATATGCACAGAGTAAAAGTGATTTTTAAACCATTGAAGCAAACATAAAATCAATCCTTACGTAGTTAGGAAAAAAGCAGAATGTATATAACTCAATGATTACCTATTAAATTTTGGGAAAGAGAGAATCAAAAGAACTATTCATCATTTATTAAATAAAATCATGTCAATAGTATGTTTTTTAGCCACTTAAACTTTCTGTAGTAACATATTTTAATTTTTAAAAATCACCTATTAAAGGAAACAAGACTCAAAAGATAGTAAATTATTTACAAAAGCTGTTTTAAGATAAAATAATTGAATTATTTTTTATTCCCTAGTATTTTTTAAGTCAGTATTTACTAGAAAATAACTTTTAAAACCAAGTTTGGCCCTAACAGGTTTGGCTCTGTGAATAGAGCGTTGGCCTGGGGACTAAAGGATCCCAGGTTTGATTCCAGTCAAGGTCATGTATCTTGGATGCGGGCACATCTCCCATAGAGGGTGTGCAGGAGGCAGCTGATCAATGTTTCTCTCTCATCGAAATTTCTAACTCTCTATCTCTATCCCTCTCCCTTCTGTAAAAATTAATAAAATAAAATAAAAATCAAGTTCGATGTAATAAATGTTTTATATTTAGTTTAGTTAGATCATTACACTAAATGGAAAACATTATACTATTGTTTCTTGTCAAAAAAATTAATGTTCTTAAATACTGATACAGCACTAAAGTAAAAACATTTCTAAAAAGATTCTTATGGATAGTGATACTATTTTGCTGTTGAGAGATAAGAAATGAAAATGATGTGGGATGTGTTTGTGTTTGTTTTTATTGATTTTAGAGAGGAAGGGAGTGGGAGAGAGAGAGAAACATCAATAATGAGAGAGAGAATCATTGCTCCACTGCCTTCTGTACGCCCCCTACTGGGGATCAAGCTTGCAACCAGTTAGAGCATTTGACTGAGAATTGAACAGTGACCTCCTGATTCATAGATTGACACTCACCCACTGGGCTACACTGGTCAGGCAATGTTTTTAATCTTTAATATTTAAAATATAGATTTATATGAACAACAAATCAATCAGCTCATATACAAAAATTCTAAGTATTCTCTGCATTCTCTTTTTAATATGTATTTCATAAAATGAGTGGTGCTGTTGTCATTGTTATAGAGAAACTCCTGTGGTGATATTTGCCCTGACAGCATCTCAAGTTCCTTGGGCTACCATGGCCGGATAGTGCTGTTGGTTAGAGCATCATCCTGATACACCAAGGTATGGGTTCTATTCCTAGTCAGAGCACACACAAGAATAGGTGGAGCAACAAATAAACCTTTCTTTCTCTCCCTAAAAAAAGTCAAAAGTCTCATTTTTTTTTTTTTTTAAAGTTGCTATGCTAGGCAGGGCCTTGGTTGTAGTAAGGTTCTGCTTAGGCCACATAATAGAATGCAGAGTGTGAGAGCTTTACCAGGGTCAAATCTCAGTTTATTTCTACTAATGTTGGTCAAGTTACTAAACCACCTGCACCTACTAGTAAGTTTCTGCAACAGGAAAATGGAGCATTGAGGTCTGAGGACTCTAAATCATGTTGCATAGAAAGTGCCTGGCACATAGTCTGCACTGACAGCAGCAGCACAAAGCAGACACGTACTGGCCAAACCCAGAACCATGTGCAGGAGCTCAAAGACTTGCTGGATTTGACTCAGACTCTACCTGTAGTTTTTCAAAGTTATTTTTTTTAACTGTTTGGTACAACATTTTTTTAAAAATTTAAATCTGCCGAAACCGGTTCGGCTCAGTGAATAGAGCGTCGGCCTATGGACTGAAAGGTCCCAGGTTCGAGTCCGGTCAAGGGCATGTACGTTGGTTGTGGGCACATCCCCAGTAGGGAGTGTGCAAGAGGCAGCTGATCGATGATTCTCTCTCGTCGATGTTTCTAACTCTCTATCCCTATCTCTTCCTCTCTATGAAAAATCAATAAAATATATTTAAAAATTTAAATCTAAAATTATTTGTAAAGTAAGTAATAGACTCCTTAGGCAACAAAATTTGAGGGACAAAAAGGTTTATAGAAAAAAACTAAATATCTTAGGTGTATAATAACATATGACCCAATGCTTGTTTCTCATTAATTTAAACAAAAACATAACCATACTGCTTTGTACTTATTCTATTATCTCTTATCCTTAATAGTTACAAATTTCTTCTAATTTTTATCATTTCTCTCAGAGATATGAATTCTTTCTTATGTACAATTAATTCTTTTTTTTTTTTATTTAACCCAATATATCTTTAATTTCATTACACAAATTAAATGCTCCAATCAAAGAACTTATATTAGGCTGGCAAAGAAAAGGCCCATCTATATCCTGTTTTTAAGAGACATATACAAATCTTTAAGTTAAAAGACAAAAAAAATATATACTGGCAAATCCTAATCATTAGAAAGCTGATATTGTTCCATTCAAGTTATGCTTTAAGATTAAGGAACATTAAATATAAAGAAGTTTAGTGAATAATGACAAAACATTCAACTCACTGGGAAGAAATATATCTAAACTAACCAACACCGTATTAACACAGTCCAAAGTATATAAAACAAAAGTGAACAGAATTACAGGGGAAATACACATATCCATTATTCTAATGAGAAATAAAATACATATATGTTAACAATGATTGTTAAACAGAGAAAACAGTAAGAATATAGAAATTTTGGATGATATCATCAATAAATTGCATCATATAAATCTATAAATTATACTGCATCTAAGAGTGGAGTTTACATACTCTTTAGGCACACGAAGAACATTCATAAAATTAAACATATTCTTTTTTTTTTTTTAAATCAATCTTTATTGTTCATATTATTACAAAGATTCCTCATTTCTTCCCCCTTCCACCAGGTTCCCACCCCACCCTCCGCCTCCTCCCCATCCCCCACTGTCCTCATCCATAGGTGCACAGTTTATGTTCAGTCTCTTCCTCCCTCCCTTTCCCCGATAGTAAATCCCTTTTCAGATAGTAAATCAGTTACTTAACATTTTCTCATATCAATAATACCTCCACATGCCCAATGATACACTTCACACAAAAGACATTTCCAAATAGGTCAACTAGCCTCATCCAGGCCCCACCCAAGGCACTCACAGATCAACACCCCAGCCCTATACTAACTCAACACATCCAGATCTAAGCCTTCATCACTTGATTCAGCAGACCCTCAAGTTCCCGCAAAAGTTTCCAGCCATGTCTGAGAGGCAGCCGTGGGGCAGGGGCAGGCGAGGAGCGAGCTATTCCGGGCCTGGCTGCTCCGGGCCTGGCTTCTGTTGCTCTGGTTCGTTCCACAACCAGTTGCTCCAGGTCTGGTCACTGCCGCTCCCAACCTAGTTGCTCTGGACTTGGCTGCTGCTGCTCTGGGCCTGGCCGCTCCCAGCCTGGCAGCCGCTGCTCCAGGCCTGGCCGCACCAGATCCGGCTGCTCCGGGCCTGGCCGCTCCCAGCCTGGCAGTCGCTGCTCTGGGCCTGGCCACACCAGACCCGGCTGCTCCGGGCCTGGCCGCTCCCAGCCTGGTAGCTGCTGCTCCGGGCCTGGCCGCACCAGACCCGGCTGCTCCCCCGGGCCTGGCCGCTCCCAGCCTGGCAGCCGCTGCTCCGGGCCTGGCCACTCCCAGCCTGGCAGCCGCTGCTCTGGGCCTGGCCACACCAGACCCGGCTGCTCCGAGCCTGGCCACTCCCGGCCTGGATGCTCCAGGCTTGGCTACTGCTGTTCTGGGTCTGGCTGCTCCCAACCCGGCTGATCTGGGCCCGGCCACTCCGGGTCTGGGTGTTCCTGGACTGGCCATCCTGGGCTTGGCCACCTCCGCCTCAGGCCTGGCTGCCACTGCCCCAGGTCTGGCTGCTCCAGTGCTGGCTGTTGATGCTCTGGTTCTGGCTGCTGCTGCTCTGGGGCTTGGCCATTGCTGCTCCGGGTCCGGCTGCCACTGCCTTGTGCCTGGCCACTCTAGGCCTGGCCGCCGCTGTTCCAACATTCTGTCCTTTTTTTTTCTTTTTTAAAACGCATTTATGTTGCAATGTTGGCTGGTGAGTTGAGTTCTGACGTAGTCTTTGATTTTTCAAGATCTTCTTTGTATTCTTTCTTAAGTAATTTTACTATCTTTTGCTCTCACTTGATTTCTTCACATTGAGAACTTCTTTGGTTTCTTCCTCCTTGTCCTGGGAGCTCAGCAGGTTGGCCTGTGGCACCCCTTTGTTCTCCGCGGGCTCCTGCGCTGCTTCAGCCTGTTGCCGGGGTCGGCGCCACCCAGGAAGCAGCCCCCGGCCTTGGCTCCGTTGCCCGCACTCAGCGGTCGAAGGCTCAGGGGCACCCCCCTCGGGGGGCCCTGTCGCCTGGCTCCTTGCTGGTGCCCGGTTGGCCGGTGTCCGGCAGGGGCTCCTGCTCCTCGTCGCGTTCCTCCAGTCTGGAGCTTTTTTTCTCCTTCCCGCTAGGGGAGTCTAGCATCAGAGTCAACAGACTGTCCTCTGCGCGCAGTGTGCGCGACTCCCAGGGGCTCGGCCTTTCGCCACTATCCCAGGACTCCACCTCACAGCCCCGTCTCCCTCTGCTTGAGCTTGGGTCCCCAGGGATTGGCCTAGAGCTGGGGTTCGGAGCAGTCCGGACTGAGGCTCAGCGCCGCCGGAGGCCTTGTTTCTTCCGGCTAGGGTAACCCAGCATCAGAGTCAACATTCAGTCCTCTGCGCACAATGTGTGCGCGACTCCGGGGGCCCTGCTTTTCGCCTCTCTTCTGGGATTCCGCCTCACATCCCCATCTCCCCCTGCCGGAGCCTGGGTCCCCAGGGTCTGGCCCATAACTGGGGCTCAGCGCTGCCGGTTCGGGGGTTCAGCCCAGGCTGGGGGTTTTATTTCCTTCCTGCTAGGGAACGCCAGACAGCACCCAGCCCTCTCCTCCTCTCCGGCTGCGACCCCTCCGTGCGGGCGGGCGCGCAGCATGTCTCCGTACCTTAGGCTTTTTTTCAGCTCCTCTGATTTTCCTTCTGGTTTTCTCTTTCCTTCTTGTTGTAGAATTTTCAGTCAGTCGACTACCTGTAGCTCTGGGCAATGTCCACTCTACATTTTAGTTGCATTCCATTGAAATTGTTGTGTGCTGCCGCGGTTAGATGTCTACCCGAGCAACCATCTTGGATCCTCCCTGTACAATTAATTCTTAATGAACCAAACACTACTGATGATTCAAATGATATTGCAGAAGTGAATTACTCAATTCTTTCTTTAATGCAGTACCCAAAATGATCTGTCATCTCAAAAATCCTTATACCCAAATAAAAACTCAGGGTCAGCAGACTAAGTCTTCAGAAAGTTCTGCATCTCTAATAAGAACCTTCTTAATTCACTTACAACCTTTTTTCTTATAATAAAATCAAAACAGCCCGGCGGGTGTGGCTCAGTGGTTGAGTGTTGATCCATGAGCCAGGTTATAGTTTGATTCTCAGTCAAGGCACATGCCTGGGTTTTGGGCTCGATCCCCAATAGGGAGCATCCAAGAGGCAGCTGATCAATTCTCCAATTCTCTTTCATCATTGCTATCTCTCTCTCTTTCTCTCTCTCTCTCTTCCTCACTGAAATCAATATATTAGTGTGTGTGTGTGATATATATATATATATATATATATATATATATATATATATAGTGAATTAGGTTAAACCATCAGTCATTGTAAACTATGGGTAGTGTTTGTCACTTTCTTTCTAATTCCCCTTTCCCTCCTATCATCCCATTTGGCAGGGAAAACTGAGTTCTCATGTTACTGAGTTTTGAAAGCATTACTACTTTGTAGAATAAAACTATACAAAGATTCCAAAATAGCTATGTTGCTAGTAGAGAAGTTGTATTTTTCATGCTTACCGAGGACTTGACTTTCCCTGCATCGACTCTTTCATAAACCGGGGTGAGGTACACTATCAGCAGGAGGAGGCAAAGGAGAAAGGCACTGCTGCTTACAAATTCAAAGAAGTAAAGTCCTCCACACAAAGTGCACTGTGACACCACCTCTTCACAGATAAAGGCCAGCAGAGACAGCAGCTGCAAAAGAAACACAGCATTTCACTTCGGTGTTTCCAGAGAAACCTCCGTGTTCAGAAAACACCATCTGTTCACCCAAATGTTTATAAAGCGGAGACCATGGCAAAACAAGCTTACCGAATGACTGACCTACACAGAACTTACAGTCTGGTTGCTTTGAAGGGAAGATAGGTACACAAATGATTAACCCATTACCACGTGCTACAGAATACAGGAAACACAGGGCATTGCTATAAAAAAACACACAGAAGTCCAGCCCAGGTGGCTGAGTGTCACCCTGTGCACCGAAAGGTTGCTGGTTCAATTCCAAGTCAGGGCACGTACCTGGGTTGTTGGGTTTGATCCCTGGTTGGGGCACCTACGGAAAACAATGGATCGATGTTTCTTTCTCACATGGATGTTTCTCTCTCCCTTCCTCTAAGCACGTCCTCCAGTGAGGATTTAAAAAAAAAAAAATTAGCTTTCACTGCTGATAGTGCTCGCAAACATGGTGAACGTTCCTAGAACCCGCCGAACTTTCTGTAAGAATTGTGGCAAGCATCAACCCACAGAGTAACACAGTACAAGAAGGGCAAGAGTCCTCTGTATGCGCAGGGAAAGCGACGTTACGACAGGAAGCAAAGTGGCTATGGTGGGCAGACTAAGCCTGTTTTCTGGGGAGAGAAAAAAAAAAAAAAAGGCTAAAACTACAAAGAAGATTATGCTGAGGCTTGAATGCGTTGCGCCTAACTGCAGATCTGAGAGAGCTGGCTATGAAGAGATGCAAGCATGTTGAACTGGGAGGAGATAGGTAAGAAGAGAAAGGGTCAAGTGATCCAGTTCTAGAGCATCATAGTTTGCTTTATTATATGACAATGCAATCTTGATATGTTTAAAAAAATAAAATAAGACACACAGAAGAGCCATGAAACTTGGGAGGCCAGGAAAGGCTTCCTGAAGAAAAGCTGAGACCTGAAGGGCAGCAGAGTCCATATGGAGGTTTAAAGATAGCAGAGAAGTTCCAGGCAGAGAAGCAAGACATAGAGAGACCTAAGAGGTGAGAAAGCATGGCACTCTCCCTCCCCGATGCACACACACACATCCCACCAACCACAACTCAACTGTGAAAGCAAGTTGAGTCACCATGACTAACTTGTCCAGTTTGAAGGAAGAAGGCAGCACAAAAATGATTAAAGGAGACAGGAGGTAAGCAGAGGCCAGATCTAAATGTCCTCTTTAGTTTAAGGACTCTGGATTCTAAGGGATTTAAAGCAAAGGGTAACATAATCAGGCCCTTGTTTTTGATTGTTCTCACGAGCTGCAGTATGGAGATGGGACAGGAGGAAGGACCAAACTTAGGCAGACATTAGTCGGGAAACTGATGTGTGACATTCAGGAAAAGAGCGCGCCCAGGGCAGCTAGCGGTAATGATGGAGAAGAAGAATGGCCAATCACTGAGAAGTGCAGTAGGGCCTTATTCAACAGGATGGATAACAACAGAGTAGAAAACAAGATAATACTGAAACACACGTACGGAAACATTTGAACTTCACACAAAACATTTATTCACCAGTCATTTGAAGTGGGCTTGTGTCTTGAGTATGAGCCTACAAAATTGGAATTCCACATTGTGTTTTTTCATTAATCCCTTTAATCATTTATGACAACCATTCCCAGACTGATAGTATTTGAAGGGGAGCAAGATCTTAGACACTGATAATCAGAGTACAGAATCTTTCCAGAGTTGGGCCAGCCTTTTACACTTGTCTTGCACTTAATTCCACAGCAAATATTTTAATAATTTACTTTTCGTCTTTCCAAAGCATATTTTAAAATATACTTTTACTGATTTCAGAGAGAGAGAGAGAGAGAGAGAAACATTAATGATGAGAATCATTGACTGGCTACCTCCTACTGGGGATCAAACCCGCAACCTGGGCATGTGCCACTGACCAGAATTGAACCCAGGATCCTTCAGTTTGACCATAAAAATTATAAATAGTACAAACCATTATGGGAATAACATAAGTCAACTGATGGCGGAGGTTAAGAGTAAAGGGTGCCCCGGCCAATGTGGCTCAGTTGGTTGGGCATCGTCCTGTGCACTGAAAGGTTGCCAGTTTGATTCCCAGTCAGAGCTCATGCCGAAGTTTCGGGCTCCATACTCAGTTGGGGCGCATACAAAAGGCAGCTGATTAATGTTTCTCTCTCCCTCTCTCTTCGTCTCCCTAAACAAAAATAATTTTTAAATAACAAAGAAAACAGAGTGAAGAGCGAGCCAGAGGGGCCAGGAAGCCCCATGGCTGTGCAGGATAGACAGGAATAGGTCAGAATGACTTTGTGCACTGAGTGAAGAATGTTAACTCTGGTTGATTTGGCAACTCAATTAAATGGAAGTGGGTTTTAACCGTGTTCCCACTGTTATACATACATGCAGTATTAACATATTGATGCTTCCCTGCAGAAAGAAGAGTTGTGTTTTAATTATACTGTGTATACGGTAGGAGAGTTAGGATATACAGCTCAGAGGAGAGGTGGGAGGTAGCGATAAAGATGTGGGGCCTTGCCGGGACTGGTTTGGCTCAATGGATAGAGCGTCAGCTTGGGGACTGAAGGGTCCCGGGTTCGATTCCGGTCAAGGGCATGTACCTTGGTTGCGGGCATATCCCCGGTGGGGGGTGTGCAAGAGGCAGCTGATTGATGACTCTCTCTCATCCATGTTTCTAACTCTCTGTCTCTCTCCCTTCCTCTCTGTATAAAATCAATAAAATATATTAAAAAAAAAAAAAAAAAAAAAAAAAAGATGTGGGGCCTTGTCCAGGTAGCTGAGTTGGTTAGAGTATCGTCCCAATAAGCCAATGTTGAGGGCACCATCCCTCATCAGGGCACACACAAGAAGCAACCAATAATACCTAAATAAGGGAAATGACAAATTGGTATCTCTATTTCTCTCTCAAAAAGCAAAGATCTGGGAATCAGTCAGTGAGTTCACCTAGAATTAGGAGAACTCTGAAGAACCCAAAGATTGAAGGGATATGCAGAGGGGGAGACACCAACAAAGGATAATTAGGAGGAGGAGTCCAAGAGGTAGCAGACCAAGAAAAAAGTATTTCTATGAAAAGAAAGGAATCTAAAGTGCTGAATGCTACTTAGGAGTCGGGGAAGAACAGAACTGAAACACTACACTGAGCTGCAAGAAGGTTGCTGGTGACATCAGCAAGACAACTTGAGGGTAGTCAGATTGGGAAGCCTAGCCTGCAGCACTGCACAGTGGGAAGTGAGGGGAAGACAAGGCAGTGGAATCCAGACAGCACAGGCAAGACGTGTGGTTTCAAGAGTGGCCAGATAGGGTAGAAGATGAGGTCAAAGGGAAGGGAATGACAAGACGGGAGAGATCTGGGTGTGTTAAATACCTCTTCAGCAGAAATCAGTAAGATGGGTGTGTCTAAAGAGAGGAAGAAGAGAGGCTCTTCAAAGGTAGGATTCAGAGCTCAGGAGTGGGACTAGCTCCTCTCCAGAAATAGGAGGGAGGAAAAGTGAAGGGAGTTTTACTTGGGCTGTTTGTGTGGGTTTTGAGGACGCGGAGGGAGTTTCCTCCTGAGCGTTAAAACTTATCAAAATAGCTGATGACCCAATTAGATGCCTATGGGGAAATGCCACCTCACCCATGTCAGGCCAATAGGAGCAACCAGATATATTAAGGGCAACAAAACTGCTACCAAAGTCAACAGATACATTTCATAGGGTACAATAAAAATTTAACCTATAAAACATTTCCATACAAAAGAAGTTAGTGGTACAGTTGGAAACATCTTTAAAAAACTAAGCATGCAACTGCCGTGAACCCAACAACTGTATTTCTGCATCTTGCAACCAAACAAGAGAAATGAAAACTTATGTTAGTGCAAAATTGATACATGAAGGGTCATAACAATTTTATTCACAATAGCCCCAAACTGGAAACAATCCAGATGTCCTTCAATGGTTAAGCAAACTGTGGTAGGCACATCCATACTACAGAATACTACTTAGCAACAAAAAGGAACAAGTTTGACATATGAAACAACCTAGATGAATTTCCAGAGAATTATGCCAAGTGAAAAAAATCTAATTTCCAAAGATTATAGACTGCATGATTCTGTTCATATAGCATTCCACAAAACACAAAGATTATAGAGATGAAGAACAAGTTAGTGGTGCCCATGGCTAAAGCGGAAGCATGAGGGGACCATGTGGTGACGGACAGTTCTAGATCTTGATTACAGTAGTGCTTACAGGAAGCTACACACGTGACAAAATTGCATAAGAGTAACGCGCACGTGCACACACACATGCACACATACAGGACCTCCCGGTACATTTTTTGCAAGTTCCTGTGAATCTATAGTTACTTCAAAATAAAAGTGTTTTTTAAAGGTCAAATCTAAATTGGTATATAAGCGTCTAAGGCAATGGTTCTCAATCTCTAATGCCGCAGCCCTTTAATACAGTTCCTCACTTTGTGGTGACCCCCAACCATAAAATCATTTTCGTTGCTACTTCATAACTGTAACTTTGCTTCCGTTAATGAACTATAATGTGAATATCTGTGCTTTCCGATGGCCGTAGGCTCTACAGCAGCGGTTCTCAACCTGTGGGTCACGAACTGCTAGCAGGGTCGCCTAAGACAGTGGGAAAACACAGATATTTACGATTCATAACGGTAGCAAAATTACAGTTATGAAGTAGCAATGACAATAATCTTACGGTTGGGGGTCACCACAACATGGGGAACTGTACTAAGGGCCTCGGCATCAGGAAGGTTGAGAACCACTGGGATTTCCCCCCTTCTACTACTGAGCAATACAAAATTCATATATCCCCACAACTTCAAAGAATCACAGAAAGACAAATATAGATCCTACTGCTGTTTTGCCTGTCAGTGAAGTATAAAACCATCCAGTATATCCCAAACAACTTCCTCCACACAGACGTTGGTGCGTTTTTTCCAATCACTAAACCGTAGGACATAAAGGCCACAC